CTCCATCTCCACTTCTCTGCTGCTTCTTCCTCTTCTCCCCCCCCCGCGTCATCCTCACGACCATCCTCACGACCATCCTCCATCGCTCTCCCCCCCCCTCTCCACCACCCCCCCACATCTACTCTACAACAACAACCGTGTCCTCCATCTCATATCGCTGCTAGCTACGTCGACTAGCTTGCCACCCAAATCACCCGCCGTTTGCAACCTCTCCTGCTCGTTCCATGCCAGCCCACTGACTCTTCCCAGTCCCTTGGTTTCGTGCTTGGGTGTTAGGGCGAGCGGCCAGAATAGAAAAGAACAACAAACAATAATAAGAAAAATCCTGCCTGGTCTCTTCTTTCAAAGGGTATGATGCTTATTTCCAACTCGGCTTTTCTTCCAACCTTCCAACCCTCCTCCCTCCCCCCATCTTCCATATCGCTTCTCTCTCTCTCTGTCTTTTTTTTTTTTTTTTGTTCCTTCTTCTTTTATTTTTTCTTTCTATATACTTCAACTGGTGAACCTTCCACGCCGCTACTTTTGGCTTATTGCTTGCAACCAGGAATCCTTTTTTATGCCCCCAGCTGACACGTCCCCTTCCAACAGCAACAACAGCAACAACAGCACCAGCCCAGACCAATTCCTAGGCCGGGGCCATTCCTCTCTTCTTGCTTACTTCATGGCTGGCTGTCTCGTACATTCTTTAGTTTTCAAAATACCCCCTTTCTTCCCCTTCTTGACAATTAACTACCCTTAATATCGTTGGCAATCCTAACCCAACCCGCTGGCTTGTCACATCTATCGCTCCAACTCGTGCTTTCCGCCAGCAGAAGGAAAAAGATCTAAAGTAACCGCACTCAAGAGAGACACAGAGGAACAGAGCCAGCCTGGTCGTGATGGCGGGAGGACCCCCTTATACCGTCCACTCTCCAACCCAGCAGCCGCGTTTCGCAAACTACTCCCCTTCCTCCAGAGACAGATCTTCCTACTCCAACAATGACTCTTACCAGGCCCCTCCCCACACTCCCCCGGGCTACCCTCCTGCCTCTCTGGCGCGGAGCCCGCACTTTGGCCACACTGCCTCCCCGATGATGAGTACCACGCTCCCACCCTTGAGTGGATCAGCCCCTTCCCATCCAGACGGCTCTCCCTCATATCCCTCCCATTCGACCTCCGCAACCACCCAGTTCTCCCTCCATGGCCCTTACAGGGCTAGCTCGCACATGTCGTCGTCCGGCCACTCCCCGCCCCCGAGTCACTTTGGCCAGCAGGTCCCGTCGCACACACACCCGTCCGCTGAATCCATGTCCCGATCGCCAAGGCGGGAGGCTGAGACTCTACATGATGTGAGGCCCAATAACGTGGTTTATTCGTCACAGTCGCCCATGATGCAGGATACGAAACCAGCCTCTCCAAAGGAAACTGTACGTGGATGATTTTTTTTTTTCTTTTTTCTTTTTGTTTTCCGTTTTATGTGGATAGACACGCTGTCTATATCTACTTTACTGACTTATATACTCTATAGAAGCCGGCTAGAACAGATCCTATGTCGTTTGCCAGCATTCTTTCCACCCCTGCTGAAGAACGTCCCCCGCGCAAGTCAACCCCGCCACCTCGCGTTACCAAAGTCAGTGAGCCACCCGCCATCGCGCCTGCACCTAAGGTCGAGAAGCCCAGACCTTCTGCCTCAGAAAGACGCCGCCAGCAAGCTCAACTGGAACCATCTTACAACGACAATATATCCCGCCCATCCACAAACGGCGTCTCCGCTACAAGAGCTATTGCTCCTTCAAATTCAAAGTCAAGAAAGTCAATTACTGAACGCGAGAACGAAAAGATTGCAAAGGCGATGGAACGGATTGACTCCATGGACAAACGTGAGCTGGAGGCTCCTGGTTATGAACATGAGTGGGCGCGGTATATCCGGAAGGGGAAGAAGCGTGCTCGTGAGGTGGAAGCTATTGAAGCACGGAAGCGTAGGGTATGTAGTTGCCCCTTTCCTCTTGATAATTGATCTATTTAACTTTTTCCCTTATTCAAAACTAACGACGATTTGTAGCGACGCCAAACCGAATTCTTGAGTGCGCTTGCCAAAGTCTTTGAGAAGCAGGTTCTGAACGGCACTGAGCGGTTTAACCGTAAGCATGAGGCTGCGGTTCAAGTTGAAGTTCAGCAGAAAGAGATCCAGGATGAAAAGGAGCGGAAGAAGGATATGCAGAGAAAACGTCGTCGTGAAAACACCGTCCGTCTTGAGATGCAGAAGATGGATGAAGCTCGCCAGAAAGCCTCTGAGGCTGAAGATGTTGCTGAGAAAGAGCGGCTGATGCGTGAAGTTGAAAAGTCTCGAAAGAAGATCAAGAGTACGAAACGTGCTTTGGAACGAGGAAATGAGCCGGAAGAAATCAGCGAGGTCCCACCGATGGCACCAAATCTCGAGGGAGGCACCACCAGTACATTCCACGTTACTTCGAAATCCCCCCCTCCCAAGAAGAGATCTGGCAAGTCTGGCTCCTCCGCGCGACCAAAGAAATCAAAGGAGAAGAAGCAAGCTGAGAAGGACGCTGCCGAAGCTGCCTATGCAGCTCTGGAGAAAGACGACGAACTCGTCCCTCTCGCGCCAAAGGAGGATCCGAAAAAGGAAGCTCTGAAAAAAGATTCCAAAGCTGCCCGCTCCAAAGAAGCAACTCCTGCGCCTCCCACTACGCCATTCGAATCCAAAGCTTACAACGTGCTCTACGAAGCTATATGGAGAGAAATTGCTCGAAAGGATGTACCCCGGGTCTATCGCATTAAAGCTACATCTTTAAACACTCGCCAGGAGAATCTGCGCAAGACTGCTCAGCTGGCGAGCAAACAGTCTCGGAAATGGCAAGAACGTACCAACAAGAGTATGAAGGATATTCAGGCTCGGGCGAAGAGAACGATGCGGGAGATGATGTCCTTCTGGAAAAGAAATGAGCGTGAAGAGCGTGATTTGCGACGCATGGCAGAGAGACAGGAGTTGGAATTGGCTAAGAAGGCAGAAGCTGATCGCGAAGCTAACCGCCAGAAACGCAAACTGAATTTCCTAATTTCCCAGACGGAGTTGTACTCCCATTTCATCGGCCGGAAGATCAAAACAAGTCAGGCGGAGCAGACTGATGAAACCGGCCCCGTTGACGATGCCTCCTCCATGGCGAAGCCTGACATATCTCTCCCCGATACTGATGGGAAGCCGGCTCCGAAGGTCACCAGTTTCGAAGACCTTGACTTCGACGCTGAAGATGACACTGCTTTACGACAGGCTGCCATGGCCAATGCGCAAAATGCCGTTCAAGAGGCGCAGGAGCGGGCACGCGCGTTCAACAATGACGATAACAAGATTGCTGCCTTCGATGAAGGGGAGATGAATTTCCAGAACCCGACCAGCTTCGGTGACGTTGAGGTTTCGCAGCCTAAAATGCTCACTGCTCAGTTGAAGGAGTATCAGCTCAAGGGACTGAATTGGCTTGTCAATCTGTACGAGCAGGGTATTAACGGTATCCTTGCCGATGAGATGGGGCTGGGTAAAACGGTTCAGTCCATCTCCGTCATGGCGTATCTTGCTGAAGTACATAATATCTGGGGTCCGTTCCTTGTTATTGCGCCGGCATCGACGCTGCATAATTGGCAGCAGGAGATTTCGCGATTCGTGCCGAATATAAAGGTACTCCCTTACTGGGGGTCTGCTAAGGATCGGAAAGTCCTGAGGAAGTTTTGGGATCGGAAGCATATTACGTACACACGGGAGTCTGAGTTCCATGTCCTGGTTACCTCGTACCAGCTCGTTGTGCTGGATGCGCAGTACTTCCAGAAGGTGAAATGGCAATATATGATCCTGGACGAGGCGCAGGCGATTAAGTCCTCGCAGAGTTCCCGCTGGAAAAATCTGCTCGGTTTTCACTGTCGCAACCGGCTTTTGCTCACGGGTACCCCAATCCAAAACAACATGCAGGAGCTATGGGCGCTGCTGCATTTCATCATGCCTACGCTTTTCGATTCGCATGATGAGTTTAGCGAGTGGTTTTCCAAGGACATCGAGAGCCACGCGCAGAGCAACACGAAGTTGAACGAGGATCAGCTCCGGCGATTACATATGATTTTAAAACCGTTTATGCTTCGACGTATCAAGAAGCATGTCCAGAAGGAACTGGGCGATAAGGTGGAGAAGGATGTCTTCTGTGACCTGACCTATCGCCAGCGCGCGTATTATACCAATCTCCGCAATCGGGTTAGTATCATGGACCTGATTGAGAAGGCAGCTATCGGTGATGATTCGGATAGTACCACTTTGATGAATTTGGTTATGCAGTTTCGGAAAGTCTGTAACCATCCTGACCTGTTTGAGCGGGCGGAGACGACGTCTCCGTTCTCTGCGGGTTATTTTGCGGAAACAGCATCGTTCTTGCGAGAGGGGCCCTTCATCGATGTTGCGTATTCAGCGAGGAACCTTATCGAATATGACCTTCCCCGTCTCCTGTGTAGTTCGCCTGGTCGTCTTGATGTTGCAGGACCGGGGAATGAAAGGGCTGGGTTTCGGGGCAAATATCTTGCGCATATGATGAATATCTGGACGCCGGAAAATATCCGTGAGAGTGCGAAGAGGGACAGTGCGTTTTCGTGGTTGCGGTTTGTGGATGTTTCCGTTGGTGAGGCGTGTGAGGTTTCAAGGAAGGGTGTGTTTGAGCGGGCTGTAGGACGTCGTGGGCATTCGAATCGGCTTGCGCGGTTAATGGTCGTATATGACGACGATGACTATAAGAAAAATGGCGCCGGCCCCGATGTCCCCGCCCATTCCTTGTTTAACATCGTGGAGCGCAATGATCGTCGACCCCTGGCTGAAATCACCACTGAAGGACGCTTGAACCAGCTGCTGAATATTTCTAACACAGCATTCAAAAACGAGGGGCTAAACCTGATCGAACCCTGCGCTAAGCCTGGCGCATCTGCATCCCCTATCACAATCTCCTGCTCAAACCAATTCTCCAACTTTGAAACGCGCGACACAATCTTCAATCCATCCCTCCAACACGCCCTATTCGGCACAACAACCCGCGCCATGGATGCAGAGATTCTGGAAAAGAAACTCGATCCACTCCCTTACAGTCTCCCTCCCATGCTCCCCGAACCCCTCTCAGCAAAGGGACGGTACACAAACATCTCCGTCCCCAGCATGCGCCGCTTCGTCACTGACTCTGGCAAACTGGCCAAACTCGACGAACTCCTCCGCGAGCTGAAGAACGGCGGCCACCGCGTCCTCCTCTACTTCCAAATGACCCGCATGATCGACCTGATGGAGGAATACCTCACGTACCGCAATTACAAATACTGCCGACTGGACGGGAGTACGAAGCTCGAAGACCGACGCGACACGGTGCTCGATTTCCAACAGCGGCCTGAGATCTTCGTCTTCCTTCTCTCGACGCGTGCGGGCGGGTTGGGTATCAACCTCACCGCCGCTGATACGGTGATATTCTACGACTCCGACTGGAATCCGACGATCGATTCGCAGGCGATGGATCGGGCGCATCGTCTGGGACAGACGCGGCAGGTTACAGTGTACAGGCTTATTACCCGGGGGACGATTGAGGAGAGGATTCGGAAGAGGGCGCTGCAGAAGGAGGAGGTGCAGAGGGTTGTTATTTCGGGTGGTAGTGGGGGTGGGGTTGATTTTAATACGAGGAGTAGAGAGAATCGGACGAAGGATATTGCGATGTGGTTGGCGGATGATGAGCAGGCGAAGGCTATTGAGCAGATGGAGAAGGAGGCGATGGATAAGGGGGAGGAAGGGGTTGTGGGGGGCAAGAAGGGGGGAAAGAGAGGGGCTGGTGCCGCTGGGAAGAGGAAGCGGGATGTTACGTTGGATGATATGTATCATGAAGGTATGTGTTTTCGACACTCAAAAGTTTAGTCTCTATTATCATCATTTGCATAAAAGCATAAAACACTTGTCCGCGAAGATTACACGTGCTAACTCCATCCCCTCCCCCCACTTCCCCCATTTTACAGGCGAAGGACACTTCGAAGACATCAGTGCCAAACCCTCCGGTGCCGCGACTCCTGTCTCTGCTGGGGATAATGGGGTTCCTGCTGTCGGCGCTGGGGGGAAGGGGAGACGCGGTGGACGTGGTGGTGCTGGCGCCGGCGACGGTGCTGGAGGGGGTGGTAGAAGGTCGAAGAAAGCGAAGACTACGAAGGAGCGGCTGAGGCTGATTGATGGGGATGATTGATGGGATGGAATGGGATGGCGTGGGGTGTGAGTGTGGTGTTTGTGTGTACAGTATGCGTGTGTACTGGACTTGTGTGTTTTCAGAAAAGCATTGCGGGCTGGCAAGAGGGGGAGGAGGGAGACGTGTGTGTGTGCTCTGTGTGTGTGTGTTTTCGTGGTCTCCCCCTGAAACCTTTGGAGCTTGGCCTTCCCATTTCCATTTTGTGAAATGTGATTTTCAACTGTTTCTTTTCTTTTATGGTTTTTTGTCCATGTTCGTTGGGAGTGTGTGTGTGTACGTGTACGATATTTTTTCCTTACATGTAGAGCTAGCTGGGGGGGGGGGTGTGTGGTGTGATGTCCACGGGTTGACCAACGTATGTGGAATTGGGATTGGGATTCGGGATTCGGCATCCGGGACTCGGACTGGGACTGGGATTCGGATGGGACGGACTTTATTTTTCCCCCTTATATTTTGTGCTATTTATTTACCTCTTCTTTTTTTAATAAGTTAATGTTCTTTTTTCCTTCCCCTTGAGTTTTTTTTCTTGTGGTGCTGTTCTTGAGAGAGAGCGTGAGTGAGTGTGATTTAATAAGATATCGACATAGAACATGTTGAAGTGATTCGTCGTATCCAGGAGTCAACTCACTAATGTTAGCTAAATGCAACAAGAACTAACTACACACCACCTGAGTGTGACATGATGTGTTGCCGCTGAAGATGGACTCTCAAAAGAAGAGCACAGAACAGCACGTACATAGCACTGACTGACTGGCCTTTTCAGCACGTTTCATCCCTATGACTTGATTTATCTGTCAATGTTAGGGCCTCATCATTTGACAATGTGTATCTGCAAAACGCGAGTGAGCTGTGACTATCTCTACACAGTTCCCCTAAAAGCCCTATGCGACTGTCGAGGAAGAGCCCTCAGGGAATCTATGCATGTTTGCTGCTGGCTCGGGGAAACCTTTCACAAAAAAAAAAAAAAAAAAAAAAAAAAAAAAAGGACAGCACGAGATGAACTCGAAACGCCACCGAAAACGAGGAGTGAGTTTACCATGATATACATGTATCAACATCAACTAACCATCGTGATGAGCGGGCAGATCGTGTCTTTCATTTTTTCCATCTCAGACTCGTAAACTACGAATTGCGGGCCCGGGACAGAAAGGGGGGGGAGGCAACGGAGAGCAAGAGCCGGCCTGACCCTGCCATCTCTCATTTGTCGGACTATAATAATTTATCCTGCCGGTGGCCCAGCATTGGCTTCGAGCCCCCTGCTGCAAGTGCAGATAGGAGACGAGTCGCGGACGGGGGTGGTTTTCGTTTATCATCATCTAGTTACTTAGTGGTTATCCGGTCCTGATGGGTGGGCACATCGCCGCCCCCCGAGCCAGACACCTTCAGGCGGGTTGTGCATAAATAACTGAAGCCTGCTGCTGTAAGAGCAGGTCTTGTTGCGGAACCTTTTTTTTTTTTTTTTTTTTTTTTTTTTTTTTTTTTTTTTCCCCTTCACGATGCAGCTCGAAGCTTGTTCTTGAGAAATGAGGCTTGACATAGCCGTATTATTGAGCTTTCGGGCCTCTGGATGTGGCTGTCTAATGTATGTATGTATGTACAGTGTCTATTCAGTATTATTGTTTATTTCTTTTCTCTATGCATCCCGGATGGTTGTCACCTGGACTGACTGGATTTTTAGAAACTCATATTTAAGATCCTATATCTATCTGGTTGGAAAGCAGGCACTGAAAGCAGTTCCATACGCCTGCGGCTGGCTTATGTACAGACTGATTTTTTTAATTTTTATTTTGGATACGTTCGTATCGGAGTCGCCTTCGTGATGGCGGCGCTCTGCACTCTGATGGACCAATTCCAAGAACCTCAACTTGTTGAGACGGGGGGTGCAGTAGGGATATAAAAAGGAGCTCTTTCTTTCCCCCCCCCCCATCTTCTCTCTCAACCTCCAACCCCAATTCTGCACAGAGAACAGCTCTACACAAAATCCCATATAGCCTATAGTCTCTACAATATCTGCCCAAGCAAGTTTGTAAGTTGATATTCCATGACAACCACAGTCCGCTCTGCATAGTCGGGATAGAAGCCCGCCTAACATATGCCACGCCAGTCGTCGTCGTCGTCGTCGTCATAATCATCATCATCATGAAGCTCTCCGTTGTCCTTTCGACCTGCATCCTGGCAATCATGCCAACGAGCACTCTCGCCTGGAGGTTCATCAGAGGTGGGAGAGACGTGCTAACAGGAACGGATTCTACTCAATGCCAGCCAGTTCCCACCGCAGAGTTGTTTGACATCGGCACGTGTCGCCAGGCGTTGTTTTTCGGAGGACCAGGGTGCACGGGACAGCCTATCGCGGTGCCACCAAGGCCGGGGCCCCAACGGTTCCCCCCAGGTTCGACCGGTGTGCGGATTACCTGCCCGCCTTCCTAGGCAGCTCTTCGTTTCCGTTCGTCTGAAGATGCGTCTTCAAAACTGGTCCAATTGAGCAAACAACGGGGTTTCGGGTTGTGGGTTCAAGGACGGTTTTCGAAGATCATGGGAGATTTCAGTTGGCAATGTGGAGAGGGTAGTGGTTTTAGGCCAGCGTGGTTTGGCGGATTCATATTTGCCTATATGCCTGAACTTTTCGTCAATTGCTAGGATGGGCGGCCTTGGAGATTGAAGGGATTTATTGACTTTCGTGGATGATAGCTGCGGAGGCTTTCCTCACTTCTAGATTTGGACAACGTATTGTTCATGAAGCTGACTGAATGGTCGGTGATTGTGGTTCCGGGGTAATATTGTTGCACCCCATGAGTGCATTCCTTTGGCCACTCGCAGAGGAGTGATCAGTATGGAGATAATAGTAGCAATGGCGAACTAGTGGAGGTTCCAAAACAAGAAACGCCCACTTATCAACTAGTTATTCCATATATGCTTTTCGGAGAAAGATGCATCAACAGCATTAGGGCTGATTGAATGTGTTGGATCTGGCACAGCTCAGGGAACTTATGAAATGTGCAGTTTGTATGAGGCCCAGTTTTCTGTTGAACTAGAACTGGTGAAGCGGCAGGATTAGGCGGGGCGATAGAGTTGGGGTGCACAGTCATTGCTCAAAGCCGCACTCATTAATGTGAACACGATGAGCCGCTTTCTCGTAGATCATCCTGCGACACATGGTTTGGTTTAAAATCCCGACAGGCCACTATTGGTTTTGGCGGGAATACTGTGGTCATCGACTGCAGCGATGTGTATCTACCCCACAGAAGCAGAACCACGTCTGCCGCCTGACGGGACTTACCCGTTTGCTGATTGATTGAATTATTATTGAGATGGGATTTCAGTTCTGCATGCCCGTGTTCAGATATGCCAAATGCCTGCCGTCTCAATAATGGGTATAGGAATACGACCCCGTAAACCGGGATTCTCCAGGAAATCGGTCGATCGTTTTTGCTGATTGATGTACTAATGGTAGTTAGCCATTTATCAAACCATTGCCGCGCATCTGAAATGAAAATAAGTGTTGAATCCCAAGATCGCTAAGATATGCAGAAGGGCGGGCAGAGTTGTCACGGTCAGCTGTGTAAGGCGATGACACGGTCGCAACAGCGTCAAAGTTCCTTCACGCACGCTTGAACTTCCGAGAGTCAGCCCTTGGAGAAGTTGAACCATTCAGCTCACCAGGATGACCCAGGAGCACTTGGATAAACGCATTTCGCTGCCACGCACACATATGGAAGTTGTGCAAGTGCCAGATCCAGAATCAATCAGTCGTTCAAAGGCCTCTCTTAGCACATGTGTTTAGATGGTCCTTGTCCATGTTTCTGTTATCAAAGCAAAAGCGATCACCCCAGTCCTCCATGTTCCTTAAATCCTCAGCAGTCGTTTCCAAAAGTGTCTCGATAACCCTTGCGGAAACCAAGGGTCCCGAGTGCCCGGGAACGCAGCTAGTTGTTACTTGAGTGGATCAAGTCAGCTTATCGGCAAGAAGGGAGCTGAATCTCGCCAGGTCAACTCGACCAAGAGTTTTTTGTATACATCTATAAATAATAAACCCCGGCTTTCCAGGGTTCATTTCTCTGCAAAGCCTCTCTCACACTACAACCCTCTCTCCTGCCATCTCCACCGTCCCTCCATGGATGGATGGATGGATGGATGGGACTTGGAACCAAGGCACCATAGCTCAAATCCCAGAGTTGGACAGATTGGATCTGTGGAATCTGCCCCGAGTCTGGTGGCATAGCGGGAACCCAACCTGGCGGCAAAACGGCCACTGCTGGGCCTTTTGGATGCAGGATCCGGATCAGCATCAGCATCAGGATCGATCCCATGGGTTTGGCCTGCGGCGTTTGACCCAAGGGTAATGGCACGTGATCCGCCGCTGTTGGCAGAATTTTCGGCTGAGGTAAGCAGCCAGCCAATCAGCGGCGGCTTATTCCTGGGACGCCAGATTGGGACTAGCGCCGGGGACTCGGCGGCTGCCCCGTCTGCTATTTTTAATGCGCTTCTCTCCAACATCTCAAGGACAAGTTACCTGAGCCAAACAACCCAGCCCACCAGAGAACGTACCTGTTTCCCTGAGGGAGAAGCCGAGGGCAACACCGGATACTAGTTCGGCTGAACAGATTCGCAAACAAACACACACGTCTCCCAGCACTGCCGTGACCACTGAGACCAAAAGAGGACAATGGAAGCTCTGCTCAACCAGTCGCGGGCGCTTTGTCCCTTTCTGCAGAGGACTTCTCCTGCTTCCCTCCGCTCGCTTTCAACCCCTAGCCGGGCCAATGCCAGCCCTGGAGGAGGCACCATCTCCAATCTGCAGGTCATTGCCCGCAGATGTCCCGTCATGAGCAAGGCCCTTGCTGTGCAGAGCGCCCGGATGGCTTCCAAGTCGTTCGGCACCCTGGCTGGCCGGGCCAGTGGAACTACCAGCGTCAACGGAGTGTGTGCTGCTGCAGGCAAGAAGAGGTTCCATACCACTGCAAGCAAGGAGGCTGCCGTTGATCACGATGCTCATAGTAACCATGCGAATAGTGAGTTCTTGCTCTCAGCGTTTTGTTGTTTGAGACACCTGGAAATGTTGGGTTACTGATATCGGGCATTCCTTGTTCTTTTCTAGTCCCCCCTACGTTTCCCAAGGCAGGCGTACTTGAACCAACTATGGTGAACGGTGTGGCCGTCTACCCGGGACCCAAGCCGGAGGCCCCTGCGTCAAAGAAATTTGATTACGAAGGGTTTTACAATAGCGAGTTGGACAAGAAGCATAAGGACAAGTCCTATCGCTATTTCAACAACATCAATCGGCTTGCGCGTGAATTCCCTCGTGCGCACATGTCCGCTCCAGAGGAGCGGGTGACTGTGTGGTGCGCCAACGATTACCTTGGCATGGGACGAAATCCACAAGTGCTTCGAACGATGCATGAAACACTCGACAATTATGGTGCTGGTGCAGGAGGCACCCGAAACATCTCAGGACACAACCAACATGCTGTTGGGTTGGAGAGCACCCTTGCCAAATTGCATGGAAAGGAGAGTGCTTTGGTGTTCAGCTCCTGTTATGTTGCCAACGATGCCACTTTGGCCACTTTGGGAAGCAAGCTGCCAGACTGCGTGATATTATCCGATAGTTTGAATCATGCGTCGATGATTCAGGGAATACGCCATTCTGGCGCAAAAAAGATGGTCTTCAAACACAATGACCTGCGAGACCTGGAGCAGAAGCTGGCTTCTTTGCCCCTATCTGTTCCCAAGATCATAGCGTTTGAGTCCGTCTATAGCATGTGTGGCTCCATTGCTCCAATTGAGGAAATTTGCGATCTAGCTGATAAATATGGTGCCATCACTTTTTTGGATGAAGTCCATGCTGTGGGCATGTATGGACCACACGGCGCTGGCGTTGCTGAGCACCTCGATTTCGACACCTATGCGTCGTTGGACACGGCCAATCCTAAAAGCACCAAAGGAACCATTATGGATCGAATTGACATTATAACCGGCACACTTGGGAAGGCTTACGGCTGTGTTGGCGGATATATCGCTGGATCGGCTTCGTTTGTGGACACAATCCGATCTCTCGCCCCGGGTTTCATCTTCACAACATCCCTTCCCCCCGCCACCATGGCTGGTGCCACAACTTCTATCAAATACCAAGCTTCATATGGCCGAGACCGCACACTTCAACAGCTTCACACCCGAGCCGTTAAAGCCGAATTAACCGCCAAAGATATCCCCGTCATCCCCAACCCATCACACATTATACCGATCCTGGTTGGGGACGCAGAAGTTGCCAAAACGGCTTCCGACATGCTCCTTAAAGACTACGGGGTGTACGTGCAAGCCATCAACTACCCCACCGTTCCGAGAGGCGAGGAGAGATTGCGGGTCACCCCAACCCCCGGCCACGTCAAGCCATACCGCGACCACCTCGTCCATGCAATGCAGGGTGTCTGGGAACGGCTTGGAATCCGCAAGACCAGCGACTGGAAAGCAGCAGGCGGCTTTTTGGGCGTTGGGTTCGATGACGATAAGAATCGTCCCCTCTGGACCAACGAGCAGCTTGGGCTGCGTGAAGGGGAGAATCTGGAAGAGGCACTGGATCGTGAGCTCAGAGCTGACGCACTGCACAGGCAACGGATGATGGCTGATTTGCAGAAGGAGGAACTGATGGCTCATGCGAATGCGAATGCAGTCGCCGCTCCTGCTTCCACTCTCGTCGGTGTCGCTGCGTAAGTGGAGTGGGGATAAAAAGCATAATAGCTTCCGCACTTAATTTCTCCCGTTTCCTAGTAGTGTTCTTTCAGTTCCGCTGTCCTGGCACACAATCACGCTTTGCTTGTCGCCCACACTCGTTTTATAAATGCAAACTTTCCCTCCGCCCACGGCTAATTGTGGTTTGGACGCTCAAAACCAACGAACATCTTTTTCTCTCTCTTTTTGCACATATAATTCTATATATATCTGATTTTGGTTATTTATTTACTCCCTTTGTTTTCGGATTTTGGACGGTGCAAAACTAATTTTCAGGTCATCTTTTAAAACATATGTTCAGGATACATGCCTTCTTGGGCAACTGGAATTCGCCAGTTTGCGCTTGGTGGTTGTCGATCTTTTTATCTACCCCCTTTTTTGAACAGCTCTTTTTTGACTTGTAGCAATCCGGCACACGTAAAGTGCGCTTTGAATGAAACTATCTTTCCATCCAACTTGGGTTTGTTTCTTTTAAGACTGGGGTATTTTTGGAATGTAGACTCCCTTGGGTAGATGCTGTAGATTTCTTGGTCTCTTGAGAGGGAAAACTACACCTATATGATATTGATGAGAGATTGGGGATATCCTAAAGTAGGCTCTAGAAAGGGAAATAAACAAGACATCACTCTAAATTCTTTAAAATCCTGCCCGCTCGCTCCAAGTTCAAACGCCCCCACAAAACCCAACTACCAACCATTCCCAAAAAACTACTTCCTCCTCCTCACTCCCGCCCCCCTACTAACCTTCGGGAACTCCACAGGAACCCTCAACTTCGCAATCCTCCTCGCCCCGGCCTCAGCCTTACTTTTCACCCCCCACTTCGCAAACTCACTCTCCCGCGGCTTATCCACCTTGCACCCCAGCTCCCTAAAGTACTGCTGGATAGTCTGATACTCGAGACGCAGATCGTCACGCAGATCTGCCGGGTCCGTCGCCAGCTCGCTGGCCGCAAACCCCGTCTCGGGCGGGATATGCAGCGACAGAGCACAGATGGTCGTGTGCAGGAGCGTGATGTCGCTTTTGGACAGGAAGGAGCCCTGCGGGACAAATTTGCGGCGCAGTGCGTCGAGGAAGGAATCCGGCAGGAGGGGCGTTTGGGGGTCAGTTGGCGCTGCCGCTGCTCCTTTCGACGCGGGGATGCCGGATAGTATGCGCCGCAGGTCTTCGCGGGGTGGGAGTTTCTTCGTCCCCGCCGGCCCGGGCGTAGCCGCCCCGACACCACGGCTCGGTTTCAGCGAGCGAGACAGTTCGATGAGAATCATTATGAACCGCAGTAGCTGGAGCATCGTCTTATTCTTCGAGCGGACTACGTGCTCAACTCTATGCGCCACGAAGCGGGAGGATGAAAGCACCGGCTCCCCGGCTGCAATGGCATCTTGCCAATCCTTGACGTGCATGGTGCGCAGCGTGGCCAGGCCGTTGGGGACAAGGGTTTCGATCGCGTAGACGTCTGATGGGTGCGTGGCGGACAGGTTGGGCTGTGGCAGGGGTTTTACAGCTTGGATTTCGGCCTGGGTGGTCTTTTGCAGGGAGGTCACGGCTTCTTTGGGGATGGAGGAGAGGAGAGCTGATTCTACGGCGCTGGGATCGCTGCCTGCTGGGGCGCTGGAGAGGAGAGCGTTCGCTGCGAGTGATTGGATGGCTTTGCGGGATTGTTTGGTGCCAAAGGCTTCTGTGAGAGCGGTGCGTTGGGCCCAGTTGGATTTCTAAAATAAAAATTCACCCGGTGCGTTAGAAATCTGGTAGAACAACCCGGGAGAATCCAAAGGAGATAGCTAGACATACCGCAACACCCTCCCCATCTTCCTCTCCACCATTGATATTTTTCCTAGGCAAACGTCTCACACATCCACGCACCGTCATCTTCCTGGCCTCCGCAAGCTGCAATGTGCCCGCGTCCGGATCATAGATGGCCACATAATGATTCCAGAGCATATCCAGCTCATTCTCTCCCTCCTTGCCTACGAAGTCAAGTTTCGGGTGTGCGGATGATTGCAGAAGGAGTTCAGAATTCAAGATCTCCACGCTCCTTGTGGCGTTGTGCTTTGGTAGCCTTTTTTGGCGCGGCTTTGTATATGCGGTTAAGGGGACTGAGCTGGGGACATTGATGCCTGGTGTGGATGCTGTGAAGGTGTGATTTTTTTTTTATTTATAAAGTTAGCTCATGGTCACCTTTCTTTTTAGAAAATGGAAATATATGCAGCAGCAGGAAATTCAAGGGTAAGGTATAGATAGAGAAAGACATCTCTCTACACGGTTATTATCCAACGAAAAATGTGATAATTAACAAATCCACACCACATGGGGGCCGTGCTATTTGTTTCTTCAAAGAAATAAAATATACCTATAACAGGAAGCAACCCATTTGTATTCTCCACGAATTGGACTTTGACAGTCGCCTCAACAGGCGCAAAAGCCGCCTTCTTGTTGGGCCGATCGATTTTCTCAGAAATTCGTTTTCGCTTCATCTTCTTCTCCGCTGAGTGGTCACCACCGCCCATAGTGTTTGTCTGTTCCTGGAACAGATAAAAGACTTTGTTTTATTTTTATCCCTGTTATTATTCTGGAAAGTGGGATTTCAAGGGACCATTAAGTGTACCGTTATGGAACGATTGAACAAATATGTGACGTTTTGGATGGGATGTTCGAAGGGTTTGAAGGGCAAAAATAAAAAAATCCGACCAACGTTTCTGCAAGTGGGATAAATAATCGAGTTTGCAGAGCACAAAAGCAACTGCGAAATCTGAAGCTCATCCCTTTTAAAGATTTTAAATGCTACTTTGAACTACGAATGAAATATAGCAAATGGAGTGGTCTCTGGCTTTAAGAAAATATTCATTTCAGACCTGTTTCCTTTCCTTTTACTTATTCAAGCCGCAGAGCCCTTGGACAAGCAAAAGCAGAGTCTGCCACAAAACGAACCAGGCAGAATACACGCCATCAGGAGCCCATATAACCCTTCAGCAGAATACTAAAAATAAACACAAACAAGATTATATTTATTTTAAAAAAGTAAACCTCAACCGCTCCGTGATTTTTTTTAAATTCATTTCACTTTCCCTCAATTTGCTCTTTAACTGAAGAAAACAAACGAAAGAAAAAGAAAATAAAGTTAAAAAAAGAGAGGGATATTGACCAGCTCTCCACCCAACGATAGGACCTTCCATTTAGGCAGGATGACCAAAAAGTAAGAAATGGAGTCAACTTTTCGCCCTTCCAATCCCAAACCCTTTTCCCGCAACCTGAAAACAATTCCAGGACATCATTCCCTTTCCCGTATCCTTCTCAAACCCCCCTTATTTCACATCTCGTCGTCAAAGCAGATATGCAACATAGCTCGGAACAATCGGGATACTGCAAAGAGATATCCGAGCACTAGCATACCTAACACCCCGACGGATAAGGTATGTGGTTTCCATGCAAGGCAAGGGAAAATTGGAGGCTGTCAAGATGCAATGAAGAACGGATTCATTTTCATTCGTCGTGAATATCAAAAAAAAAAAAAAAAAAGAATCCAAAGGTGTTATTCCCTATCGTTAAATCGGGTTGCGTCCCCTTTTTTTTTTTTTTTTCAGTGTGAGGGATCATGTGATGGTGTTGGCGATAGGGGGGAGAGCTGAGACGGAGTGGTCGAGTTGTTTACTTGCTGTAAATGGGGGCAGTTAGTATAAGTAATCTTATGGTGAATTTCTGCTGTGGTTGTTGGTGAATTGAGCTCAGGGGTTATTACAAACCTTCTAGCCCGGACCTTTCTCCGCTTACGCTTCAGCCGTCGAACGCGCTTCTTTCTCCACTTGGCTCTCATCTTCGCAGAGTTTTGAGACTGGTTTATACGACGTTAGTTAGCCATTGGATTATATTTATATTGTTCTTTGTGTTTCTTTGTGCCGTCGACAAATTGCACTGTTGCAAATTGTTGGGATATTCAATTGAACGCCAGGGTACATATATTGGACAGTGCAAACAGAGCAGCAGAGGGGAGTTGGAGAGCTGGAGGGGTTAACTCACACTTCTTTGACGATGAGGGGGATGGTTGCAGGAAGATGGAGGAGTTCTGAGGGATGGGGTTTGCTTTGTAGTGTGCGTGGCTGACTCAGCGCACGCTAGCGGCCGCGAAGCGAGAAGAGAGGAGTTACGTAAGCGACCAAAATTGAGGGGACTGTGAAACGATGAAAGTGCGTAGAATGTATGGGTGATATCTACAGAAAGGAGTAGACGATTAAGGAGAGTTTTAGAGATAGAAAAAATTTATTTAGGCATAGTGAAACTACTACTCGATTGGCTATTTAAGGACTGACATGCAGGATGTGGAATGATGATATATCAAAACGATAGTCTGTATTTGTGGGATAAGACAAAAGAGAGGGACAACGGGAACGACAAGAATACTCCAGGCCAAAAGCACCATCTTCGCCGAAGAAAAGAAAAAGAAAAAGAAAAAGAAAAAAAAAAGAAATCAAATCGAAAGGAAAGCCATCAATTAAGCAGCAGCGGCAGCAATAGGAGCAACAGCATCATCTGCGACTGGGCCATTCTCAACACCAATAGTAGTCTGCACTCCAACCCGTTCTTTGCCCAAAATATCAGCAAGAAGGGGACTTGGGCGGCTGTCCCGATGCGGTTGGAATACCGCCTGGGTGGCCTTGTACTTGTGCACACTTTCGATATAGATATCGAAGAGATATGAGGAATCCAGTGGGCCTCCCTTTGCCTCTGGGTGGAATTGGGTGCTGAAGATTGGTCGGCTCTTGTGGATTAGACCTGTAAGATGGGTTAGTAATCGATTTGGATCATGGATATTATAATATTATAGAGGTTTAAAGGGATATAAATATCGACAAACCTTCATTGCTCGAGTCGTTCAGGTTGATGAAATATGGCTTCCAGTCGCTGGATAGAGTTGAAGCGTCCACGGCATATCCATGATTCTGGCTGGTAATATGACAGCGGCCGGTAGTCAAATCCAGAGCTGGGATGTTATGGGCGCGGTTGCCGTACTTCAGCTTGATGGTACGAGCACCGGAAGCGAGGGCAAGGAGCTGGTGTCCAAGACAGATACCCATGATTGGCACTTGGGATGTCTCCATCAGCTTGCGGAGATTGTAAACGGTGTCCTGGCAGTGGGTTGGGTCACCGGGTCCGTTGGAGATGAAAACTCCGTCGAAGTGGTGGGCGACCTTGTGGATGGGGTAGTCGAAGGGGAAAACGGTGATGCTGGCGCCCCGGTTGACCAGGCTGCGCAGGATATTCTCCTTCACGCCGCAATCGATAACAGCCACGTGTGCGGTGCTGTTACCAGGGCTGACATGGAAGGGAGCCTTGGTGCTGACTTTCCGAACCAAGTTAATTTGTTCCGGGTCAATGAAGGCCTCATCCTGATCAGCATCGTACTCCTCGCCGATTGTGATTCTGGCGAGGGAGGAGCCCTGCTCTCGCAGATAGGTGACGATTTCACGGGTATCTACTCCGGAAATCGCTGGAACGCCTTCCCTGGTGCACCATTCACCCAAACTCTCCACAGCAGTCCAGTGGCTGTAGCGCTCCGCAACATCGGCAACAACAACACCGACGGCTTGCAGGCTTGGTGACTCGAAGTATTTGAGAAGGCCATTCTCATCACGCTCAGCAGATGGAACGCCGTAGTTGCCAATCAAGGGCTGCGTGAAGACCAGAATCTGACCACGGTAAGACGGGTCACTCAAGGACTCAGGGTATCCCACGAGGGAAGTGGTGAAGACAGCTTCACCAGAAATGTTCCTCTTGGCGCCAAAGGACTTCCCGTGGAATACAGGGCCATCTCTGATGGTGAAAGTCGCCCGGTCGTGAGCCGACGGGTGTACTTTCTTGGAAGGGGTCTGGAGAGGATCGGTTCGGCTGACAGTAGCCATGAATCGAGCATTGAAGGCAGGAGGAGCCCTCAGAGCGGCGGTAGCATGAGTCCCCACCGGGACTGCTTTGAAAAGTCGCGCAAACATAATAGTGAATCTCGAGTTTTAATCGTCCGCTCTCAAGTGTGACTCAATTAACCGAAGCCTTCCAGAGATGATCTGATGAGGGTTGTTAGTAGGTTGCACCGCTTTACGCAGTAGCAAAGATACAATACAAGCACATTGAGCATACCAGAGATGTAGTCCTATAAAAGAAAGAAGAGAGTCAGTCAAAAAAACATCCCCGTCACAGAGTCAGGTTCCAGGAGTCATACCTGAGAAGTAAAGATTGAAGGAATTACACGCATAAGGGCTGATGTGCCCGTCAAGCACTTTAAACAGACTATGTGTATGAGGTTCTCAGAAGAGTGTGAAAGGCAGATATCTAGATGATGATGATGGGAACTGGGCGTGGTTGGGCAGTTGAAGAATCGCAGAGATGGTTGGAAAGGAAAAAGACGGTGAAGTTTCGAGTGGCACGCTTTTGCAGGCCTTGAGGAGGTGCGCGACGCTAGTGAGGGCCAAGAGCAACAGAAAAAAAAAAAAAAAAAGGCGGAGAGAAATTTGCTCGGGCGTTGGCAACAGCTTTGGCCCAATCACACGCAGGGCAATGACCCCGTATTGTCACGCCACCGTATCGGTTCCCACCTCGCCACTATACATCCACACGGGTTGATGGGTACCGGCTCGTAATTACGGTACCGAACATATCAACTTATTGCCATTCGTCTGAACGCTGTTCGAGGCACCTGCATTGGCAATACTCTGCATATGAGTATCGTATCTTTTTTATTGAGTGAAGAGGGCTTCATATACATATAGAGCCACCATTTCTCGCTGGCAACAATTCCACGCTCAGAAAGCCTAGGAAGACACAGTATGTCCTTCTAGGGCTGATTCCCGAATGGAAAACTTTCGGCAGGGCACTTAAGGGATCTGGGAAACACCGATATTCCTATGGCTAGGGAAGCACTTCAGCTCACTGCTCAGCATCGCGCATCCGGATTCTTAGGTGTATACTTCATGGTGGGTCAAAGAGGAGCTTATTGCCATGCAAGACTCCCCGGTATAAAAAGTAGAAGGAGGACGCCCTTGGAATAGCCAGGCTCAACAAGGTTAGAACAAAGGATAAGGGGTGCAGTCGGAGTTGGAAGTCTTAATCGTTGGGCATCTGTCTCCCTTGCTTGCCCTTGGGAATATGATTCTTGATGAAAAGTGCCGTCTTGGCTATTCGGTTGAGGTGATTTTTTATAGGTATCCTGTTTATTTTGAACCTTGATGTAGCTACACACTGATAAGCTGAGGAGGGTTAGGCAACCAGTTATTCTGGATGCTTGTTCTGCTGGATTTCCGTTAGGCTAGTTATTCCCCAAAGAGCATAGGGCTTTTTGAGCAAGTTAGGATGCGATCCATTTGATACCCGCTTGGCCACGGAATTGAAGCCTTACAGAGAGAGGAAGTCCGGCCCGTGTGAAGTGCACTCGTGAAAACCGGGAATATGCCGCGAGTCACTGACAATGTACTATTTCAGTGATATGTAGTTGCCTTTCCAATCGCGTAAATAGTCCTGCCCGAAGCACAACCCAAATTATTTGCTTTACCCAACATTTTTTGGGGTAGGAGGAAACAGGGAATCTTCAAATGTGGCTACAATATTTAGCCTAGCGTCCATTCAAATCAATAACCGATTCTCTCTACTCAAGGCCACTGCGCAGTATGAGAAAGGCTAGAATGAAGATTTTATATCGTCACTTCAACAATCTAACTTCCCTGAGAATCTGACCGGATAAGGCGGATGCTTGTATCCAATGAATTTTCAGGAAGTACTGACGATGAAGTTTGCAGCACAGTGTAGGGCTATCCTCAAGCAGGGAAATTCTGTTGCTTTGTACTCCGCCAACTGCTCTAGAATAGCCACATTCTCCGCAACTACAAAGGAATTGCGTATGAAAGAAAACACGTATAATAATATAATTGAATATCTTGTTCTGCGTAAGATGATACGAAGAATTCGGGTGGTTTCTGCGTATATTGATCAATTAATCAGCGACCTAACTACGAATTTGGCGCCGGGTCAATATAAGCGAGCATGCCAAGCGCTTGGGCCATGAGCTTATTTCAACCACCTATCAAGGATTTTCATTGACATCAGCAAGTCAAAAGGATAAGCACTTGAGAAATTCTACAATGGCAGTTTGTCTGGAGTTATCCAGGATATTGCGGAGCCTTGTGCTACACAGTTCTCCAAGAGTATTTTGTGCGCCTTCCACCTTCAGTAGCTGATGAAGGCTTCGAATGTGCCTGTTTATTCACGGAGGAGGCGAAACGTACATAGAACAATGTTTTTCACTGGTTTCGGGCAGATTTCCAAGTCATACATACTCATTACTATCAAGTATATTGATAGTCTCTCTCTCTCTCTCTCACACACACACACACACACATCCTATACTCCTGTGTCCATCGCAAAAATTTTGACGTGGAGCGGATGTTAAAGAGAGTTTGTCAATGGCAAGCGAAGACATATGGTCTGAAGATTCTTCTCTTGCTTTTACGATCGAGTTTCTCTGATATTTACTTGTTCGTGCGGCTTTACTGAACTTGGGATAACGCTATCCCTCAAATGAAGACTTGAATATGAATGTTTCTATTTTGCTATCCCGAAACTCTTCATAGAGGGCAACCGATTTGGGCATGCTTAGGTTTTGGTTTGATTAACTTCTTTTTAATAGCAAATGTTGTATCGACATTGAGTTGAGAGGTTTTCTTAAAAGAAAATATTGGTCAAAGACATATTCGATACTTATTCATTGGAATCACCATGCATTCATTTCAAGGCAAGCTTCTTGGCTCATGTGCCATGCGTGCTGCTTCGGCACACCTGCTATAACTACGGAAAAAATCGCTTAGCCAGATATATTTGTCTTGTATGCTGTTCCCCTCACAAGGGACACCTACGGATGGACTCAAATGAATTCCTTTTAAGGGAAAATTTCACTCAGCGGGTGATTCCATGCTGGCTCTTCCCGACCTAATCTGGAGCCTCACTCATCACTCCCTCCGTGTCGCCCTCAACACCAGTAACACATCGCCTATCCGCCAATGAGTTGCCCCCGGAGGTGCTTCGCTTAAGCTAGCGCCGTCGGGGCCTCAGGCAACAGGTATAAATTCTCCCTTTTCTTTCCCCTCCCCCTGCCCCTTTCCCCCCTTTTTGTCTTTCTTTCCTCCATGGACAGACTGCCATCTAGCAACCTGGCTTCAGTTGTGTTAGGCACCTAACAACAACTACCATCTTCTTGGTCCCATTTCTTTCTCATCGTTTGTAAGCACTTGTCACCAAGTACTTACCTCTTTTTCCGTAAGTATTCTATCTTCCCCTTATCCCGTCTGCCCCTTTTCTCAGTAAGCAGGGCTTTATGTTTGCAGCTAACCACTCCATTTATTCATTTAACAGTTCTTTCGCGTTTCTGGTTTTCCCCTCTGGGGTTTTTACCATGTAGGCTTCGGCACTACAAAAAAAGGATGCTTTCCATTCTCTATATAATCTTTGGACTTTTTCATGTGAGGTAACTGGATATGGTTCCTCATAACCGTCCTCACATTTATACTTTCTTTTTCACTATTCTCCTTTACTTGCTGAAGGGAATGGAGAAGAAAAAAGATACTTTGTGTACACTGTTCTTGATTTTTTGATTTGTGTGTGGTTGTGTGTGTTATTAGTTGGTTGACGCGCACACAACTGGCGTATGATTTAAATGCGTAGCAACACAAATGTTTACTGTTATCCGGGCATGTTTTCATAGCACCAAAGAAATCTTGGACCTGAAAGGAAAACGCACGCAGACTACAACTGGTATCCCCTTTACTGCTGCTATCCCTACAGCATAAGGGACTTGACAGAGCATGTTTCGCACTCGAACGCTCTTCCGTATATAAATCGGCAGCAGAGCAAACCTGCCGTCCCGCACACCTTCATTAGCCGTTACAGAGGGTAGAGTGTAACTAATCACAGGCCTAGGCACAGCCATGGTCATGTATATTACCTATATCGATTTCGCACCAGCGGTAAGCGATTAAGGACCGACAGACCGGAATCATACAAAGAGATAGGGGGAGAAAAGGAGGAGGGGGATTATGTTCCTGCTGCGTAAATCGACCATTGAGAACACACAAAGCCTATCCACGAGAAGCAATAAAAAATATAACTAAAATCCGTATGCCACTCTACAGCTCCCATCTTTCATTGCCATTGTATTATCGGGAAGCCCGCGTCATGCTTTCTCGGTATGATCTGTGACAGGGCTATGTGAGCGGTTGAAAGCTGTGGGAGGATCAGTACTCGCAAATTCAACTCCAGCTGCTTCGTATTTTCATCAACCACGGATATAACCTCGGATGAGAACAGAATTATTTGAAAATTCCTTCAAATTGATCATCGGTGCAGGTGATAAAATCAGGCATATAACATGTGGGCTTTGCCATGGGCGCCGGCTTGTGCTCTTATATGGAAGATCGTTGAGGGCCCGCTGCTAGAGCTGTCAGTTTTTATTTGTCGCAGTGTTGGTTGGTCTTGCTGGTCGCAACAGTTATCCATGCCGAACATTGTGCGGTGAAATACTTCATAGGCTGTCTCGGGCTGGTACGCAGGAACCATATGGCCTGCCTGGGATTCTCTGCTGAAGGAAAGCTAGTTACCTTCCTGACGAACCTTTCGACCAATATAGGATAGGTCTGTTTGGATATCAACATAGCCAGCCGCCCTGAAACTATGGGATTCGAAAACTGGAGGTGAGCTTTGGTTCCTTGGAGGGTTTGGGGGAGAAATGACAAGCTTAGTCAGACAATAACAAAACCCTAGTTATACAACCTTCATGAAACCGTTGTTTGTTATTACAAACTCACGAATGGAAGAGAGTCGCAGTAGTCTCACAAATGGCTTTAGACCATTTGCCCAACGTGGATGGCATGAAAATCGAGAATCCCATTTGTTTCGAGTTTGTGCGACGACCGCCCGCCGCTAAATGCTGCTACTGAAACCTCCAACCAATACTGAAGATGCAGTCATCGTATTCCCCGCCTCACGGGTCTTCGGAGGAAGTACTCCACAGGGAGCATATCATGCCCAAAGGCTGCAAGTCGTGTTCAGTGGAGGTTCTGGCGGCAGGCCATATAGGCCAGAATCCCTTGGCACTTAACATATTCAGGAGACTCGAAGCGCTCATGAACGTCGTCTCTTCAATAATGGCTCAGTTGGATCTCCTACGGTTTCGTAATTATAGTGAGAATATAACTATATAGGTTTATTGCCATACCATATCAGAGACACAAACAAACAGCAACTACAAATTCTCACGGTATACAATGGCTCAATCCACAATAGCAGAAACGACGACGACGACGACAACGACAGCAGCAGAGAAGCCTTTGGTAGAGGATGGTACTCCCTCAGATATTTCACTGCTATGGCAGCAAGCTCTAGATAAATACCAGGAGAGCACAGGCAAAAATCTCAAGCAATTACCCAGTTTTGGCTGTGTCGAGGACATCCTGGCAGACGCCGAACTTCAGCAAAGCATGTTCAGCACTTTTCGACACAACGGTGAATTGGGTGACAGGCTTCGCTCGTCTGTGGCGAGGAATGCTAGTTTCCTGGAATCTCTCAGGTTTGTCGTAGATGGAGCTGCTTTGGTGAATTCATATATTTAATTTTTCTGTAGTTACGTCTTCTCCGGACAATCTTTCTAATGTTTCGTCTTCAATTTTGCAGGCGTACCCGCCAACTACCGCGATATCATCTGCATTTTTCTACTTTCTCCAGGTATGTGTAGTTTCTAAATTCATTCCGGACAGAATTATAACATTGTTATTTATACCTCTTTGGGTTTTATGTTTCTCATCCTCAAGCGCTTGTAGATGACCAAGCATATTTCTTCGGACTATGATAAGATAGTCGACTTTTTCGACACAATGAAAAATTGTCTCGAACGACTGTCAATTATTCAGGGAAAATTGCCATCGATTCCTGCATATACGTCTCATGTTGTACGGGTTTTCTCCGCGATGTTGAGTGTATGTGGTATTGCAACCACCTATATAAAGAAAGGAAGATTTAGTAGGTAACGTTCGGTCTCTTGCATTCGTGGTTATTGGTGACGCTTACACTCTGAAGAGAAATGGGTCCGAGTTTTAAGGGATGGCGGAGGGGATGGGAATTTGCAAAGCGCCCACGCCGCCATGGAGAAGTCGCTTACGGAGCTCGAATCTGCCTCAGTCACAGTCATTCTCGCGACCACCGAAGATCTGAAACAGGACACGAAGGGCATCGTTGCCACAACCGAAAGAATTGACATTAGCAACCAGAGAATCGATACTAGAACCGAAAGGATAGAATTATCGATACTCTCACAGCGGGATCAGTTCCACGAAATGTCAGCGAATTTTGAAAAATTGTTGAAAAGTCAGCGGAAGGACGCCAAAAAACTACAGTTATATGACCCCGGAAAGGTAGTAGATGCGAGGACACGCAAGCACGTTGCCTTTAATTCTGTGAAGCTTTGTTTTGAGACCAGTATTGATCCCGCCTGGCAGACTCGAGATATTGAGTACTCTTTTGTAAAAGGGTCAGCTAAATGGGTTTTAGAAGAGAAAGCATATCAAACGTGGCGAGAAGGAGGCAATAACCCATATCTGTGGATTTCCGGTGACGCTGGTTTTGGGAAAACATGCGTCGCATTTTCGCTGGCTAGAGAGCTAACGGAATCTGTTGCGTCAGAACCGAAGACCTCAGTTGCAGCATTTTATTTTCAGAGTGACCAAGCGGAACTCAGATCTGTGTCAAATGCGATGTCAAGTATTATTATCCAAATTGCAAAGCGGAACAGCTCCTACTGTGAACAGGTGTCGTTAGAAATCGGGAAGTCGGACGGAGATGTTGATATCGATAATTGGTCGACTGACCTATGGGAGCGGTTCTTTCAGTCCAAGTTCGGAAGCAAGTCTAATAACAGGCTCTTTCTAGTCATCGATGGTCTGGATGAGATATCTGTTGAGGATAGAGCGAAATTCTTGGACTTGTTAGCTCAAGTGCGAAAGGAAAGCCTCAACATGCACGTGTTGTTCACAAGCCGTACTGATATACCGTCGTCTCCTAAACTCCTCCAGCCGCTCGAAATTACTGCTACCAAGGATAAATTGCTGCCAGACATGACACTTCTGGTTAAAAACCGATTGAAGCGTCTCCCAAATTTATATGCACTCCACAAGAAGACTAAACGGAAAATCCTTTCCAGGGTCCTTGAGAAGGCTGACTGTAAGTGTTTCCTTCGTTTTTGCCGATTTCTTCATATCAGCGGCTGATTATAGACTAGCAATGCTGTATGTCGACCATATGCTGCGTCGATATAATTCCATCGGCAGAGAGGGGGCGGTGTTGAAGAATCTAGAGACGAATCTCCCGGAGAATCTCCAGTCTCTCTATAATAATATGTTAGCTGAACTTAAGCAGCGCAGAACTTCTGAACACATGAAAATTTTTAAGAATCTCCTAGCATGGTTGGCCTTCTCAAAACGACTTTTAACTGTTGGAGAGGTAGATGATTTGACCACGCTTCTAGGTCAGGACCGGTCATATAACATCATAGAGGAGGTTGAGGGGAAATCTTCTAGGTATGATATATTAACCACACACTCTTCCTCCATTTGATGAGTAGGTTAACAGCTGAACTTAAACTTCCCAGAATTCTGAGAATTGTACGAACTTTTGACGAAGAGAACCAAGACGACGAAAGTGATGGCGAGGGAGATCCTCTTGATGATACGTCGGTGGCTTCGAAAATGATAGCAGACGACAACGCAGCATCACTTCAGTTTTTGGATAGGTCACTACGGGACTACTTCCGCTCCGCTGACGCAAATGAAGACGAATTGCGAACAGACGTTTCCTCCGCTCATCTCATCATATTTGAAATGTCGGTCAATGTGATATGCCGAATGTATAAGTCTAAGGGTGCGAAGGCAGGAGATCAAGTGAAAAATTACGCGATTAATTTTTGGGCTCGCCACTTCTTGGATCTTGATCCTCTTTCCGCGACGGAAAAAGATGTTGTGAGAGTCATCGAACCTCTGGTTCTCATTCTGAGCAACCACAATAACGCAGCAAAAGAACTTGAATCGGCACCGGTGTACCGTGATGTCTTTGGTAAAACAGTAAAACGTCAGAACGATTTTTTGAAACTAGTTGCGATATGGGTCGAGAGAGCATCAGAACTGAAAGTGGAGAAGCTTAACGATGGAGCAAGATCGTGGGTTGAGAGCGCTGTTAGCTCTCCATTGAAGATTATGGTTCCGTTAGCGCGAGGACATGTCTTGAATTGGTTCCAGCAGATACATGAAGAACATGACTGCTTTGGGTTTGCCGCTGATGCGCTTTTAATGGCAAGTAGCACTGAAATTTTTGGCTCAATGATGTGTTATCAATCGCTAATACTTGCTTACCCCCAGACGGACCTCCTCCCAATTATTCCTGCAAGACATCACAAAAGCTAAAAATATCAAGAGTTTTGCGGACGTCTTTTCAGACATTCCAAAGGACGAAACGGCATATCGAGCCGTAGCACTCGTTTTGAAAAATAAGGAGCACTACGATGAGGCGATTGTCGCTTGCAAGACTGCTTTAGCAATATCATCCACTGATACAGGTCGCTTCCGTACATCGGTGGTTCTAGCACAGATATATTGCAAATTGTACGGTGACGAAGTTGAGAATGGATCTGATTCTGGAGAGTCTGAGGAAGATTCTAGTGAATACAATGCCATGGCATACAAAGAGATCTGCGAGGCTCTTTCCAAACGACCCCCAATCGACAACACCCCAGCATCTAAGGAAGTCCTCCTACTAATTCGAGAAGCTCTGCTAATCCGAGGGGACTGCGAGCGTGTAATAAAGGAGATGGATGCGGCTGTGAAATCGTTTGGGGAAGCAAGAACCATTTGTCCATCTGAGATTCTGGGTGGAGATTCCCTGAACGAAATAACATCTATTCTCGGGGAACAAGGAAGATTTACTGAACTAATGGAAAATGTCGAGCACTGGACATCCTGGGAAAGGATGGCTTGGCTGACTGCCAACGACGAGGATGATAGACATGACATCTTCCGCAATGCTGCAACCGTAACCGGGAAAGAAGACTTCTTGGTGAAGACCTACGAAGATATAATAGCGTACCTCGATCGTTCGAAATCATCCGCTGCCATCCGTTGGGAACTCGGTTCATATTACCAGACCGTAAAGGGCGATTTCGCAAAGGTGAAGCCTTGGTTCTACTCAATCGTCGATGGAGACTCATTCATCAGTCCGGCTACTGGTGAAGAAGATCTGGTTATCCTCTCCGAAACACAGCTGAACCTTTGCGACATCATATATGAGGAATTCCGTCGAGCAGAAACGCTCGAGAAAAAGATAGTGTCCATGGAAGAGCTGAAAAGACTACAAACACGCCGGCGCAGGGCTGCTGTGGATGATGGAGACGTCTATGAAACAGGCAGCTCCATCGTCCATGCAAATATGCTTCGCAAGATGGGCCCCGCCCATGAGTTCCAGGATGTATTAGAGAAAACATTCCAAACATGCATTTCCTCATTGACGGATGACAAGGGTTGGAATGACCAGAACAGTCTCTGCCTTCTCGCTAAGGTCCTTGCTACTGTTGGTGGGTTAGAAAAGGAGGCGCAGATAGCTTTCTCCGCCCAGTTCTATATCATCGACCCAAAGGTCGAACATGGCTGGTCAGATGAGGAGTCGGTATGGAGCACTGACGGCGAAAATGTCGAAGAGGAGGAGGGCGACGATGCTTCAGATACTGGATGCGACTCTGGCAGCTCAGGCTCCAACCCCAGCTCGTCATCTGGTAAGAAAAAGTCTAATGTGAATGAAGACTTCGCGCCCGATACTGCCTATGTTTGCCAGGGGGAATGTGTGGATGATGAGATCGAGTCGTGGGAGGCTGGACCCGTCTACCTCTGCATGATATGTACGAACTGCGATTTGTGCAATGCGTGTTATGAGAAACGCCAGGCGTATAATAAGGATTCAAGTGATAATACGCATTGGCGTTTGTATTGCGGGGAGAATCATTGGTATCTTAAGGGTCCTGTAGATGGGTGGAAGGGGATCAAGGATGGGCATATGACGATTGGAGAGGAGAAGATTAAGTTTATGGACTGGCTGGAGGATCTTCGGGTGTCGAAGTGGAAGAAGGCGTGGGAGGAGTTTTGGATGAGAGAGGAGGCTCAAGAGGATATTTTATGATTGCTTGATTGTAACTGTTACAGTACAACCTGTTAATTATCTAGATATCTCCCGTTGGTTGTGATATGAACTGATGAATTATCACCCTTTGAAGTAAATAGATACCATTTGTACTGGCGAAATAGAAAAACAAGTTGATGGATTTGATTGTAATCCTGTTAATAACACTGGGCAGTACTAGTACCTAGGATCTGAGGTTGAGCCCTGCACAAGGAATGTGTCAACACAATCTTGAAAACATCTGATCAGACACAAAAGAAGCCCTTAGGTAGTATGCATACTCATAGCTAACTATTCAGGGAAGCTATTCATGGACAAAGGCCAGGCTAAAACACATATACAAGCTATGTTTTGTATTTGGTGGGAAAAGAGTTGGTGGTGGACTCGGTGGGTTGGATGAAAGATATGAAAGATGATTAACAGCCAACAAAACCGTGGTTGTATAATATGAAATACCTCCATTTCCCTCCGCCCTCTTTCTTCAATATGATAGAGTAGTAACAACAAAAATACAGCAGACAAGAGTTAGGAACATACGACCCAATTGTAAATTCAATGAAATAAAATCGAAATTAAAAGGGTGGGATAGTGAAGTGTATTAAGAAAAATTTGGAAAAAAAAAAAAAAAATGCAAAGTGACAAAACACCATGCTAATGGAACTGTTGGACGGTAAAAAATAGAAGATGGAAACGCGGGGCAGCACAAAGAAAGAAACATCAAAAGTAGAGGGGGAATAACAATAAAACAAAGAGCAAAATTTCAAAGGTATTGGCCAGTATATACACTTTCTAACCAGATATCATCTATGTCTCTGCCTCTCCGCGTCGTAGAGCAAGGAGGGCCCGAACATCGGTTACATATTGCATCGCTTCCAAAATTGGGATGAGATGCAAGAGGTCGTTGTCTGTAGGGTCGTTGATCCAACCTTCAATTGGAATAGCATTATCTGCACACAGAGAACGTATTTTTAGTAAAACGCATCACAGTATGCAGCAGAACATGCGGGAAAGTCGTTCTGTGTGGTTCTCTTCGCTCATTGATGCACATTTTGAGCAGCGAGCATTGCTTCTATTTCCTACATACCTTCGTGAAAAATATAGCTCATAGGACTATTATCCAAGATCATCACCTTGCTCAAATCAGGCTCAACGGAGCTGAGGTCTTTAATGTAGGCGCCGTTCCGAAACGTACAATGCTGTCGGTAATACCTACGGTGAAAGAACTTGCGTTCTTGCTCGAGCCAGTCGATGACGGGATCGGCATATTCTTGGACGCTGGCGGTAAATACAACAAGTTTATACCATTTGCATACTTTGCGGAGAAAATCGTCACAGTGAGGGCGCTTATGGACGTAGTAAAGGATGGGGTGTTGAGGCCCTATCGTCGTAGGTCCTCCGGGGGTTGAAGTTGTCACAGGCGTTGACAACTTGACTTCCACCATATGGCCGCTGGACATGCGGCCGCCTTTTGCCAATGAATGAATAAGAGTTTCGTCAAGGTCTAGGACGAGGGTTTTTTGAGCTTGCGGCCCATATCTAGGATTCGAAGGGGAGGTATATGAGGGTTGACGGGGAGGGATGAGCGGCCGTGGAGGAGAAGGGGCGTGTGGGTATTTCGTGAACTTATGGGAAGACGCGGACATGGGCGATTTCAAACTTTCAGCAGCAAGACTCTCAGTGTCTTGCGCTGGTCCTGTATTTCGTTCTTTCTGTTGTTTCCGCTTCAGATTCCCTTCGTTGTTCAACTTTATGCGTATGGATCGCCTGGGGATCCCTTCATCAACGGATGAACCGCGGATTGACTTCGACTTGGAAGCACGGTCCCCATCATTGGGGTTTCTCGTTGCTCGCCGGTCAGGTTCTGACTCGGAAGTATTTGAGGATATTGACTCCCGGGTTGTGGAGCTCCTTAGCCGTCTCACACTGCTCCCGCGCCCATTCAAAGGTTTCTCTGTATTGGGATAGCTCAGCCGTCCTGACGCTGCAACACCCATAGCTTGAGACGCTGTTGTGTCTTTGTTTTGACTTGTAGTATGCCGTCCTAGTCGCCTCGCCGGCGCTAAAAGCGAATAACTTCCGCCATCCTCTTTGAAAGCGCGAGCAACGTAAATGCCTGGGGTTGCGAGAGCTGACAGTATAATCTTCAAGGTTTCGGCGATGGCATCAAAGAGCCGTTGAGCAATTAATTGTAATTTATTGCTTGATGGAAGGATATCGCCCCTCTGTAATTCCTGTAACAGTGGAGTTTTCTCGTCTGCCGCACCCGGCGGGTCTGGGAATTTCTCGTTACCCTGGGCATCGTCGATGAATTCTCCTTTGGTCTGGTTGCTATATAACTCTGGGTCGTGCAGCTTTCCCACACTATATGACCTGGCTGAAGGAAGGACACTTCGATGGCTTCCGGAGAGTACAGGGCCCTGCGAACGGGAGCGGGGACGGGGATTGGATGGAGCTGGCTGTCCGATGACGTGGGACGAAAGAATATTGAGAGAATTCATTGTTTTTAGCGGGCCATGCAGCTCTTCCGGAGAGCAGCTGTCTGCTCTAGAATTAGTATAAAGGTCGAGCCACCGCATCTCATGGTAAAAGGGACATATTGAAAGAGGCTGAAAAATGAAGCAGGCCAATGGTTTCGGCTGACCTCAATGCGCCAGATCCAAACGATGGCCCCAGCCACTGCCAGGTGCTAATGGGTGAGGTTCCCAGCCAGAATGCGCGAAGTGGCAACTGGGTATGTAGAATATCAGGAAGGCCGGATACGAAAAAAAGAGAGAGTAAAAAGTATGGTTCGCGAGGCGGAGATGAGGAAGAGAGAGGAGGAGGAGGAGGAGGAGGAGGAGGAGGAGGAAGAATAGGGAGACGAGGAAGTCGAACCCTGTGTCCTCTGTATTATCTGTCTTATCTGCCGTTGTACCTGTAACTGCTGCAGTTGTTGTACAGCAGTTGTTAACTATATCGGCGTCGTTTGGTGCAGGTGGTGGATGAGCGACTTGACCGTGTGAATGGTGGGGATGCAGAGCCGCAGCCGACCCTTTGACACTTCGACACTTCCTGCCCTTTTGTTGGGCCAACAACCACACAACACCAAAACGTAAACCCCGGTCAGCATCATCATCATCATATCATAGATAATTTACACACAAGACACCGGGACATGCCTCTTCACGCCATACAACGTATCTCGATTTCAAGTTAAAAAGGTTAAACACAAATAAATGGTCTTCGTCTTCTACAGGACCATTGCAGGCGGTCCCCGCCCAGTATTTGGGGTGCCTTGGATGCAGGTCCACGCCTCTCAACAAAATCTCAACGACCAACCCGTTCTGTGGCTGCATGTATTTATATATGCGTGGACAGTACTCCGGAGAGCACATCCATTATACTGCCAGCAGGGCATTTACTGCTAGCGGGCTACTCGCTTTTCCCTGTGGAGCAGCTATCATCAGGCCCGCCTCAGTTGTGCATCAGCGATCATGTGGTCAACAGACTACACTGCTAAAAGGGACCTCGACTTGTTGTTCTCCAATTACCACAGCCAGAAGATGCGCTATTTACCTTAACAACCGGCAATACGACAGGTTCGAGTGAATGTCCAGTTTAGGCCCTAACTATTTTCTTAGAGCAAGATACACGCTGCTTTACTTAGCCACTTCCTCTGGGCGCACGTTTGAAGTTACTGGGAACTCCCCCAATTTCATTTCTCTAGAGGGGTTTCTATCGAACTAGCGAACTTTTATACTTCTGCTCAAAGTGTTCCCTCCAGGCAGGTCCCTTTGCCAGGCTCAGCAGTGCAATGCCGGTGCTCAAGAGGTCAAAAATTGCGATTCCTGTGAAGCACCATCCAAACCCCTCAGCCCTAATCATTGGGTCAGTTACAGCCGCCCCAATCGCAGCTGCTGGGTTGCGCAGGAGTGAACTCAATGCCACCAGCGTAGCTGCCTGCCCGGGCTGGACAAGCGTTACATATGTGGTGTTTGTTGTAAGCGTCCACGAAAATGCAAACCCACCTAATTTATGTTAGCTGTTCATGTTCATATTCAAAAGGGATAATTCGGAGCGGACAAACAGATGGCCATTGCAATGATTACGCCAGAGACGCCAATGTTAAAGTTTGCCAACCATCCATATATTAGAACTCCGATCGGAAACAGTGCGGTTCCTATAAACTGAAGGCGGAGCCTTCGCTCGGGTGCTGGCGTTTCTCCCCCTGTCTTTTCAAGGTGTTTCCTGTGGGCCCAGTCACTCAAGTGACCACAACTGACTGATCCACATATCATACTCAGCCCTATTTAGAAAAGAACAGCGTTATTAATTGATGGAGCCTGTGTTAACTTATGGCCAAGCGACGTACCTGGTGCGAGATACGCGACACCGATTTCTGCAGGGTTGAAACCATATCGCTCCTTCAGGGCCGCTGGGAAAGCAACTGAAAGGCAGTAATAGCTCCCGAAAACGATGGAAACATTAATACAGGAAAGCATTACGATAGGATGCCTCATGAAGAGAAGTATGTTGCGTCCCCTTGGTCGCTGGGTAATAATTTCCTCAGGCTTAAGGTCAACTTTTGCACTGAAAGTTGGCCATTGGACCCACGACTTCCCACAGTGAATGGCTCCGTTTCCAACCCTAGACCTCAATGTCTCTGGGAGAAGGAATAGAGACACCAGGAGACAAAATCCTCCAAATATAGCTGTGACAAATGGCATGTCAGTGCTCCTAGAGCTTGACACATCATCGAAGATTTCAAATCCGCGCTGTCACTTACCCAGAAACGCAAATGTCCATCTCCAAGTAGATCTCTGCGCAATGACGCCTCCAATTAGTGGACCGAGAATTGGCCCCAGTTGCGGCCCAAGGCTATAAAATGAAATAGCTCGACCACGCTGCTTTGGTTCAAAGATATCTGCGACAGTTCCCACCCCGGGGCTGTACATGGCAGAGCCCCCAAATGCCTGGAGCACACGCAATACCATGAAGGATGCATAGTTCGCTGGTGCTGATGCGAGAGCAATATTTGTTGCAGTACCGATTAACAAACCGAGAGCAAACACAGGCTTCCGGCCTCTTGAGTCCGAGATACTTGCAAAGAGTAAGGGCTACATAACTACAATTAGACAAATCTAATATATCATAAGGGAAAACCGCTATCGACAGAGGGAGCAGGATATACCGCCACTGCGAAAGTAATCATAAACACTGTCACCGTAAGGTTGACAAGTGTAAGAGAAACGTTTAGGTCTTCTGTCAGGACGGGAAGCAAGGGCATATAGATGCCCGCTGAAACGGGGGCTATGAAACCCTTCGCAACGACTATCGAAAGGATGAAATTCTTCCTGGCTGGGGAAAACGCTGAGTAAGGTGGTTGATTTGGTGACGGTGTACTCCCTACCGTCTCTTCTTTTGTCTCAGTAAATGGCCCCTGCTCGTTCTCATTTGCTGGGGTGGAACCGGCCATTTCCACTGAGGGCTCTCTGGAATCTTTCATGAGTTTTAGACTGTTCAGTTTCAAAAAAGAAGGATTATTAAAACGAATGAAACAGATGGAAGAAGGACAGAGGAAGTAGGTGAAAAAAGAGAGAATCAAAGTAACAAAGAGGGAGGAATTCACTTCGATTAGGTCATAGAACCAATGTCAGCATGCATTAATCCATCGTAATTCGGAGGTCGCTTTTTGGGTCATTTTGAGTACCCGCATCAGCTCGACGCGCCATATTCTTCAGCTTTGGGGCCAGCTATTCAATCAGCTCCCTTAATTCTTTGCGTTTGTTTTCCTGAAAGGAAGCAAAAGAGATAGACCAGAGAAGCCACCACCCAGCAAATCGCATGAACATCCTCAACTCCAGATACGAAACGCAAAATCTAGATGGAACCGTTGCATTTTGTACAACCCCATTAATATTTTTCTTTTTAATTGTATACTATATTCGGGGGCGGTTCGTGATGTGAACCATCTGCAGGTAGGACAGTACGGATGCGAACGACAGATGCATGCAAGCGTGGTTGTTTATGACCAAATGCTCGCGTCTATTTACTCTCGTTTTCCGTGGTTTTGATCCTATTCTTTTTTCTTTTTTTAATTATCCCCACCCACTTGACCCATCTCGTTTTATGTCCCACCCATAACTATGTACCAAAAAGAGTTTCCGGCCTGAAGCGCAGCGACTGTTTGTCCGTAAATAGATGCTGCAAGAAACCTGTCAGGGTTAGCGGACCCGATTAATAGTAAATGGCGCTGGCAAGGCATGCAACAAGAGGGAGAAAGGAGAGGAGCGGAACAAGAAATGAGGCAGGCTTCCAATCCTGATACGATAATGCGCCAGTAGGTTAACCATTTCTTAGCCGTGGACAGACTCTACCTCATGGCAATGTTGCCTACATACAAATAAATGACTCTTGACAAATTCCCTATCTACGACAAACCCCCTGAATGTCCCTCGCCGTCACTCTTCCTTTTTCTGCTTGGTGCTCAGAGACGCCCACAATCCGAAACTCCGTCGACCAGCCACATAACTGCTCGGTAAAAAGACTTAAATAAATTTAACCTCTGTGCCCGTCCTGCTTTTGAATATAAATCTGCAACCTAGGGGCTTCATTAAACCCTAAAGTGGGAAAAGTGTTCAGCTTCCATACGATATTATACAAACCATCTCACTAGAGACAGACAAAACATTGAAACTTACCCGGCCAAGTTTCACCTTAGTCCCAGGAGCGAGAGTCCACTCCACACTCCTCACCAACTCAAATAGCGCAATCTTCATCTGCAACAGCGCAAATGCCTGACCAAGGCATTTCCGCGTATGCGCGTTGAACGGGATATATGCACCACTGGCATTTTGCTTACGGAACTTTGCGTGTATCGCATCAACGGTAGAGCCCCATCTTTCAGGGATTAATTCTCTGGCATCGTTGCCCCAGATGGCTTTGTTGGTTTGAACGCCAAAGGCGGTCCATCCAACATAGATGCCCTGTGGAATGATTATTTGGTTGCCGAGAACAGCCGTTCTCGACGCTTTTCGATTGATGAGTTGTGAAAGTGGCGGATAGAGGCGCAGAAGTTCGAATACTGTTGCAGTCAAATATGGCATGCTGTCAACTAATTCAGGGGTGGGGTCGATGGACCCGGTGCTCTGCACTTCCTTTCGAAGCTTTTGCTGTATCTCCTGCAAGTCTGTCCCTTAGCAGGTTGAGATCCCGTATACAAAGGGGGAAAATTCTGTGTGGGAACTAACGGTTTTTACACCCAAAACATAAAGCGTCGAGTTGAGTAGATGCTGCACATCTTCGTGTCCGGCTACGAATACGATCTTTAGATTCGCACGGAACTGGGTCTCCGTGATTTTTCCGCAGGCAAAAGCCCCACGAAGAGTGTCAATTACCTGTACATCGTCATGTGGTTTCAAGTCATTTAGTGTTGCCTCAGGTTTGAGGTTCTGAACGATTTCGTAAAGCAGGTCCTCATACTCCTTCACGACGTTGAAGGCCCGCTTTCGGCTGCGGAAGATATAGGGGTATTTGTCAAGGGTGGGAAAGCTGAAATACAACGGTGCGAAAACACTTGTCCTGATGGTCGTCTGGAGTTTCGCGAGCTTTGTGGTAATGGTAGGTTCGAGGATCTGTTTATGTGAGAAATTAGAACAATTTGATCGTTTTTTCTCGCACAGTGGGAATAGAAGTTTTAGGACGATTCCACAACTTCAAGAATTAACGCACTTCAAAATTTGTCCGAAGGAAATGTTCTCCCACAACATAAATCGCATACCGCTGCACCAATGTTTCAGGATCAATGCCGGAATCCTCTGCTTCTGCGCTTTGAGTCTGCAGGATTGCTTTAACCAACTGCCTCGACCGATCAACCAACTTACTGCTATCCTTGATCCGCCTTTGAATACCCCCTTTCATAATCGAGGTGTAAAGCCTCCAAGTCTCCCCGTGGGCACTGATGATGTTGTTGCCGAGAAAAGCAGCAAGAACACTATAGGGGATCTTCTCGCAGTTCCCTGCTTTGATAAAAGCGTCTTCATTCCTAAGCAGGTCGTTGATATATTCTGGCTTTGCATTAAGCACGTTCCAGCGGGAAGAAACCCAAAACTTAACTGCTCCATATTTTTCTAGTGGTTCACGCATCCAACGGTCGTATATTTCATCCTGACCAAGGTCAATGAAGTGTGCAATGCTGGATACATAGAATGGAATTGCAGGGATATTTTTTGGCATGTCTGATGGAATGCGAAGATACCACCAGGCAGCGATGATTAATATCGTCGCAGCGCCCGCCATGCTCGCTAGGAGAGCCATTGGAAGTTCACAACTTTGCGCTGAGGAATGCGCAATCTGGATCAAAAGGCAAGAGAAGAGAGTCAATTGTTGATCATTAATGTTGTCGGTAGAAGTGTTAAAGAGAATTAGCCAGAATCGGTATAAAAAACCGAATATAAATTTCAGACAGGTGCTTCAGGACGCCTAATCAGCGTTGGTTTTCAACTAAGCCCAAGGGCTAAATATATGATCTCTTCTTATTATTACCCTCCCAAAGCTTGAATAGCATGTATCTGTTCTACTCCAGGTGTTAATGGAGGCTCTATGTACCACCTTCGCGGCGCGACTTCTGTGTCGAGATCGGCACTGGTCAGCAGTCAGGGGAAAAGTTAACAGATACAAAGGGGAGAAAAAGTCTTACCACAGCAAGACATTTGGTTAGATTCAACGATCATTCCTGGAATCGAATCAAACGTCTCTGGCCAACGCAGACCCAAAAACATGACGCAGCATAAAAGCAAGCAGTGGAATGGCGGGATGAAATTTGCTCAAGAGATCTATATGCACTAGTTAATCTCTGACTTCAACCCTAAAGAGAGTTTCCACATGCCTCAGTATCATCAATCAAGGCTATTTTCTGCGTAAAACCTTCAGCCGTTCCGAGAGGTTCATCAGTCTCGATCTCAAGATACGAACTTCAAAAATATGTAGAATTGATCTCTTACTCCCTCTCTCCCAACTCGCTATAGCCTCTATCAATACTTCTAGTGCAACATCATGCGAATTGTCAGCAGTTGCTTCCACACCTATTCGCTGGAATTCAGGGTGCAGTCAGATGATAATTAAAAAACGAAAAATGATGCGAGCTGAACTGCGGCTACTAGCGGGATCGTGTTACTTGACTTGTAGGGTTGTGAAGGGATATGTCAATCCGACATTGGAGATGCTGCAGAAATTGTTTGATCGTCGGAGTTTTGCTAATCCTACCCACAAGGCTAATACTGGGCTCCTGACCAGCAGATGGATAACCACTTGACTTGGTTTCCAGCCACGGATAAGAGATTATATTCATTGAATGCTTGAAGCTACCTGTATCGAGGTTGCAAGACTCTCTTAGTTTAGAAACATTAGACAATGGGATAGTTTGGCAATCCCGCCTCTTCTAAGACTGGAAAGCTAATTAGCGGCAGGACCGAGAGAATTTCTATGCAATTTCAACATAAAATAATATGCAGCTTGCATTTCACAAACAAAGACATAAGCGGCATATCCAAGTCCAATAGGATCAGCAGGCATAGTTTATATCTGTCGTAGAAAACCTCCACTCTCGAAGAAGACATACATACCTGTGTATCTCTCAATAAAGTTATTGGACGAGCAGAGCTAACTGGCTGATCATTTTGCAGACATTCAACTAATCTGCTCTCTGACCTCATTATGATCGCATTAACCCTTGTAATATTTCCAGTATATTTTCTCCTTCTGCGGAGCTTTCATTCGCCGAACTGGTTGAGGGTTCCGACACTCTTCCAATATGAGCAATGAATCATAAATCCAAGTTTTAATAACTGCAAACTGTGATTGATTCAGTTGCCTGATATCTGCGTTCCTCCAAAATCCATCCATGAGAACATGTAGATGGATTATATCCAAGGTGTAACCCTAACCTTCAAATCTGTATATTATTCTGAACATAATTGCAGTGTGATTAAACCCCACATCGGAAGAGTATTTGAAAACATCAGCCTGAATCCATCCCTGATGTGTGTGTGCAACTTGAATACGAGAAATGTTTCCATTGTTCACAACTGACGGTATCTTTTGCCTCGTAGATTCATACTCATCCTTATATCAGGAAGGTAGCTATCCGGCATTGTCATGAAGGAATTTCCTCTTTTGAATTGTCCACGAAGAAACGCTGTGTAGCTCTTATATAGCTCTGTATTCATTGACAACCACATCCCATCCTATCAATATTTGTTATTTCTTCAACGTGCCCCTTAGGAAGAAATTATAGGAAAACTTTTCCAAGATGTGAAACAAGACACCAATAATACTCAATTAATGCTCGGCATTTATTATTCGATTGAGATATTTCTTGTAGATATTATTAGTCGTACTCCGTATGATGACGAAAGGCCCTGTCCAAATGCCAAGAAATGAATGCGCAAATTCGTGCTAAATCGGAAGAGGAATCTG